GTAGTTTGATCTCTATAATTTTCGGATCACTAGACTTTCAGCTAGGAAATCCGAACAGATGAAAAATTTTAGGGATAAAAATATGCTTATTCTACCGTTTAAATACTAAAATACGTTTAAAATGCTATGTTTATGGTTTTGATCCATAAATGGAAAACGGGTTCTTTTTCAATAATGGTTTAAATGGAATCTTGACCTGGTTTGACTTTAATTCCTGTCATTCCTCCTTCAGAAACCTGCGAATTATTCTGGGCGATGTTCGCTTTCACAACACTTTTCAGTTCGTGAAATAAGGTGCTTCAGCTTACTTTTTTTTTCAGAGCGGCTTTCGGCACAGAATGAAGTCAACGAGCTTTTACCAGTAAATTCTTGATTATTTGCAGCTGTTAAATAAAGGTACGGCAGCTCCAACTAGCAGTATTTCATCACCAAAAAAAACACATTTAAAAATTTTTCTTAGGAAGCGCCATCTGAACGTACTTAAACATTTTCTTGTCCCTGAAATTTATTTCGAAAGAGACATTATTCCCGCCAAAATTTGTTTCCCTTCCGGTTAACGCTGATTGGCTAATAACATGACAGGTCAAGCAGACGTTAGATTAATTTAGGCGTTATTTTTTTTCCCTCTCGAGCCAAAGAAGCAAAGAAGTAGCAGTATTTCATCACCAAAAAAAAACACATTTAAAAATTTTTCTTAGGAAGCACCATCTGAGCGTACTTAAACATTTTCTTGTCCCTGAAATTTATTTCGAAAGAGACATTATTCCCGCCAAAATTTGTTTCCCTTTCGGTTAACGCTGATTGGCTAATAACATGACAGGTCAAGCAGACGTTAGATTATGTAAATTAGGGGGCGGTTGATGGCTTGTTAAGTAAATCTATCAGGCGTTATTTTTTTTCCCTCTCGAGCCAAAGAAGCAAAGAAGCAAAATAAATAAATAAATAAATAACGCCTGATCTCAGGTTAACAGAGGGCAAATGTGACGAACTTTGTTCACGGACGAGCGAGGCTTTGTGGCGAATGATCTGTTCGTCTGACGTAAACAAGCATAACGCTATTTACAGTTGATCACCACGAGTAAGCCAGAATCAATCAGGTTTAGAATTTTTGCTCTCACTTGATCACGCAGTACGTGCTTATTGTTTATGTTATCCTAGTGATTCTAGTTGCCTCTTTCTGATTGGACCCAGCAAAATAAATCCCGCCCCCGCCACACCGAATACCTTCAAGCGGATTTTTGAGCACAACACTTTTAAATCAAAATTATTGAAAGGGGGAACCTATCAAATGACGGAGACGGGGATGCTCCTCGTATCGCTTAAAAGTAGAATTGCTGAATTGGTCTTTAAAGTGTTACGGACTAAAATCCACTAGTATGTTTAACCATAAGGGTTAAAACAAACACTTAAACAAAGGCCGTCATACTGTATTAGCATACGCGTTGACAAAGGAGGAAAATCAGACGTTCCGAGGATGCCCCCTCTTGTTCAGTGGTTCAGTTGTTTGCTTGGCCCTTTTCGGGGGTCAAATAAAGCCTGAGCCACGCCAAGACTGGGATCCTTTAGGGGTTAATAAAGGCTGAGCCACGCCCAGACTGGGATCCTTTAGGGTTAAATAAAGCCTGAGCCACGCCTATATCGGGTTCCTTGAGTGGTTAATAAAGGCTGGGCCACGCCTAGATTAGTCTCCTTTGCCAGTTTAATTCCAATTAACCGACAAGTATTTTAAATAAATCAATAAAACTTAAATGACCTTCACAATTACTGGTTAGCCCAGTAGTTTACATTGTGGCCCCAATCTACAAATAATTCTAAAATGTAAAAGATATCGTAAAAGGGAGTTAAAGGATAAAAAAATAAAAATAAAATGGTTGCAAATAGCTACCTAATTAGTACAGTACAATCGAGATAAAAAATAAAAAAAGGTACCTTAAAATGTCCTTGTAATACTAAAATGTTTTTAAGCTTGTCGTCTAGACGATTCCAAAGGCGAGTCGGGCTCGCATGAAATGTTCGCAGACCGGCGTTAGACCGGCATTTCAGTACAGCAGCCAAGGCATTGGTATTCTCACCTCTTTATGTCGCATGGGAGTCTCTCTCTTCCCCCCCCCCCAAAAAAAAAAAAAAACTGAAAAAAGGGAATGCTAGTGTCAGTCACGAGGATATCGGTTTCGAAAGCCTAGGAATTTGATTTGTGGGGGAGAGCTATGAACCGTTTAAGCGCTTTCTCGAACGAGAGATATGAAAATAAGCATAACCCTTTCGGCCTTCCTGTTGCCTTGTCCTTTTCCAGTAAGCATAGTCAACCGTAAACACAAAATCACCCAAAATCACTCAAAATATAACTTCTGAGACTATATTTCTTCGTTTACTGGCGAAGACTTCAATGCTAAAGGGCAGGTAAAGGCATTTTTAGTGATGGCCTGGAAATTTAGTTAAGCGAGTTTAAAAAATTTGCAATGAACTGCAAGAAAATGAACGTCATGGTCAACGCTCTCGTCCGCTAGATTTCTCGATTACCGAAAACGAAATACGTAAAGCTACATATATGTTAAAGAATAATAAATCACCATTTTCGGATGAAATTTGAAATGAAATGATAAAAGCTAGTATTGATACTTTGACGCCTGTATATGACAAATTATTTAACCCTCGGACGTAAACGCAAAGTCATACCCCCACCGTGGTACAAGGGGGTGGTTGATGAAGGCCTCCCCCCCTCCCCCCTTGGATTTTTGATATGTTGCAATATTTCGAAACGATTTTTCCTTCAGTGGAAAGCCTTTGAACTTCTCTACAAGATAAGGTATATTTTATTGGTGGTGACGCTGCTGAAGGTCTGTGACGTCACCAAACATGGTCACCATCTTGGATTTTATCAAGAATTAGAAATACTGAAAATGAAGAAATGATCGTCGCAGTGAACGCTATTTATGCAATTGCGTAAAGAAGCCCGGAAAAAAAAAATTCAGGACTTCAACGGGGTTTGAACCCGTGACCTCGCGATTACCGGTGCGATGCTCTACCAACTGAGCTTTGAAGCCCTCAGGCTTCTTTACGCAATTGCATAAATTGCGTTCACTGCGACGATCATTTCTTCATTTTCACTTCACTTCCGCAGTTCTTATATAATTTATTTCATGTATCATTAACACTCATTTCTTTCACGGGAACATATGAAACCACAATTGACCTGCTCCCAACGTCCGAGGGTTAATTCAATTCTTACCCAAGGCACCATGCCTCAGTCTTAATGTGGTGGTTTTATTACTCCCATCTATAAATCGGGCGGGCTTAATGACCCGGTCGGCAAATTACCAAGTTATCTGTGTCTCCAGCTGCCTGGGAAAATTGTTTTGTTCTTTCTTTGAACCAACGACTCCTCGAACATGTCATGTCTTTCAATACACTTCACAAATCTCAAATTGTTTTTTTTACCAAGTAACTGCACAACAGACCGCGTCTTTACTCTTCAAACCTTGATATTAGATAAGTACGTTTATAATCACAAGGAAAAGATTTATGCTCGCTTTGTGGATTTCAAAAAAGTTTTTAACTCGGTCTGGCATGTAGGGCTCCTGCATAAGTTATTCCAAATATTACCCAGTTACCTGTGAACATTTTGATCAATGAACTGATGAACACATCTAATTCCTGTATACAATTCATGAAATTTATTTCAGCTTGCTTTGATTTTCGCGACGAATTATTAAATAAGTAGTTTAACTGGCCAGTGATTAAATGTTAGTTCTTATTCTTAAAACATAATTATAAATAGCTTTTGCAATACTGTACGTATGTACTTGTATGGTCCTACAAATGAAGCTTGTTGTTGTTTGCATGTTACATCAATTTTGTTTAGTAGATTTTGTTTATCTATAACTCTCTACATGTATCAGGGGCACCCAACGAGGATATAGTTCAAAACCACTTAACATAGCATTGTTGAACGTATTTTAGTATTCAAACGGTAGATATAGGCATATTTTTATCCCCTAAAAACTTTTCATCTGTTCGGATTTCCTAGCTGAAAGTCTAGTGATCCGAAGATTATAGGGATAAAAACTTACCTTCTCGAAAATTTTAGCCAGGAAAAGGCTCCCGAAAATTCTAGGTGGCCTTTTTTAGGGTCAAAATCCGTTAAAAATGGGTAATTATACCATTTTGTAGATGTTCGAAAATCCTAGGAGAGGCAGGGAAGCAAGAAATTTTACAACAAATGCTCCGAAAATTCTAGATCTCAAATCGTCTTCCGAACAGATATTTTCCCGAAAATTGCCGTTGGGTGCCCCTGATGTATTACATGCATTGTATTGAGTTTTGTACTCGGCAAATTTGTTGGAAGCTCGGTGTAGTAGTAATACTGGACTAACTGTGCAGAAAGCATCAGGGGAGGAGGGGAGGGTGGCAAGCAAGGAGAGGCTCCTCCACGAGATGCAACCCTTCAGATGCCATTTCTGACAGAAAAAGTATCCTTTTTGAATATCTTCCATATAAAAATGGTAGCCCCTTAACATACCTACTTAATTAAAGTAAATAGCTGAAACAGGGAAATCCTCTGGCCATGTTCGAGGAGCGTTCAATGAATTAAAATGATAAAGCTACAAGGAAGGTGTTTTTCAAACAATTTCATTAAAGGTCCCTTTCCTCCAGGCTCCGCATTGGAGTAAACAGGAGAAACAAAAGCAGCGAGCGAAGTGAGCCAAGAGGTAGTCTGGGAAGGGGAAAGGGTGGCACCCTTTCCCCCTCCCCAGGCAACCCGCTTAGCTCGCTTCGCTCAGCGATATTTTTTCTTTTTAACCCCGTGCCTTTTTCCCCCACTGCAGTGCCTGGTCCCAGGCTAGCATGTAAGTATGCTAGCTACTTCAGTGTCCTGTTCTATTGTCAAAAGAATAACGTCACTATAGCGGTAAAAAATACATCTTCAATCGTATCACAAACGTCTGTGGTTAGACGGCCAAGTTATTCCTATTACTGTTTGTTTTTACCAAACATGATAAACTTTGGACGTATCATGCTTTTATTACTGATGCATTTTGAATTATTATAAATTATTATAAATATATTATTATATTGACCATGAAATAAGCTTTACCTTATTTTCCTTATTTTTTCGTTTTGGGCTTAACTCAGACACTCCGGCTCCCTATGCAACTGGGTTTGATTCAAGAAGTGGTACCTTGGGAATGTAAGATGTACCCCATCTCCCGGCCTTGGTGGTGGGTACTCGACAAAGAATAGGGAGCTTTAGCAACGACGACGGCGACGGCAAAGAGGACGTCAAAAAAGCAATAGGTTTATTACGCAAAACAACAACTTTGCACGTGCATCACGCTTTTTTGTACATTTCTTTACCGTCCTTGCACGACTACGACGTGAAAATGCCTAATTGCATGTTTTATGGAGGACGTAAACAAGGGACGACGAATCTCTTTTTCTCTCTCTAAACGTGAGTGCGGTCCTAAAGAAATCAACTCTAGGGAAATTCGCCTACACTTGCCATTTTCAGCAAATTGGAATAAATACGACAAAGATTGAAAAAACGGGAACTCGTTTTAAAACTGACGTTTTCGCTGCAGTTAAAGTCGTCGATGCTAAAGCTCCCTATTTACTCGGAGAGGCCCCGCCCAGAGGCCCAATGACCCCCTTTTACCATATCTTTTTTAAACGAACAGGTATTCCTTTCGTATAGCCTCCCATGAAAAATGGTACCCCTTTTCTTATACATATATACATAGTAAGTAACACTGCATTCCACTGCTTGGGTGGCTGGTCTAATAAATAAATCTTAAACAGACTCAGACATAACACCCTTTGAGAAATAGAAGTGAAAGATTTGCCTACCATTTCATGTACTTTAAATCCCGAAATCCCTTCCCTTAAAACTGCCTGAAGCCTGAAAAAGGGATCCCTTTTTGTTGGCATCTAAATCCCCGTAATTATAGTTTTATTTTAGGAAGAGCACTGACGCCCACCTCTCGAGGCTCTGTGAAGGCGTTTCTAGGCTCAGGGGATGTTTAAGTCATCTTTTTTTTTAATTCCAGACTTATTACATTTGGTTGTATTTTGCTTTGAGATTTTCTACAAAACAAATATGATGAAAAAAGACCACTCTTTCAGTTTTGAGGCACAACCTGGTGTGACATCCTGAACTAGCCAAGCAGAGCTCGCTTTTTTGTGCTATCTTCTCACTTAGTGCCAGAGATGTGGCTTATCTCTGTTCCAACTGCATGGACGACCGGTCATCGTCAGTGGCAATACGAAGGAGTTTTTTGACTTCTGCTTTGATGTCAAGTTTCAGAAATCCGTACGCGAGCGGATTGAATGCGGAGTTTGCAATCTGGAGTAGCTGGCTCGCCCTGTAAAATGCAGGCGTATAGCTACAAAGGGTAAAGATATCACAGCAGGTTCGAGCGATCGTTGCCGAATAGCAAAAGATGAAGAAGACCACAATCGACACGATGAAAATTACTGAAGATCGTCTTCTGTTGTCATGCCGCAAGGTTGCGACGTTATTGCTCTCCGTCATTGGTTGATTGTACCGTAACTGAGCCATCACCGACGCCGTCTCGCGAGCGTGTTTTCTGGCGATGAAGATAAGATGAGATGTCACCAAGAGCAGAGTGAGCGTGGGAATAAATTCAAACCCCACAATCATGAGGTAAGAGTAGCCCTTCATTGCAGTGATTCCCTGTTGGCTGTACAAGAACGTAAAGGGAAGGAAACTGAGTGTGAAAGGAATAAGCCAGGCAGCACAAATGAAGGCCACGGCACGAAAAGTCGACATTAACAGCACATACATGAACGGTTTCACTATTGCAATGTATCGGTCCACTGTTAGCAAACACAGGTTTATCACCGAAGAGTACAGGAAAGCCCACTGAAAGCTCGCGAGCAAAACAAAACGACAATGCTTGCTTGGGTGGCAAAGAGTCATGGCAGGATACATGCTTAGACTGACTCCAAGATCAGCAAAACACAGTGAAAGAAGAAACCAGTTTGTTTTTCGGCGAATGAGTTTTTTCTTCGAAGAAATTAACAAGATAACGAAGCTGTTACCAACAAAACCTAAAATAGTGAAAAGCCAGGCCAGTACAGTATACCAGAGGGGTTCTTGCATACTTGTGTCATTCAACCTTGAAATAATATCCGCAGAAATGTTTGTCAAATTTTCTGCAATCTATGGGAGAAAAACAGTGCAAAAGTGTTAATAAGTGACAAAAAAAGAAAGAAAGAAATTTTCATTTTCATACTAACAAGAAAAAAGAAGGCTTGCACTGAACAATGAGGCAAAACAATTTGTTCCAGTGAGTAATGACGGGAGATTGTCTTTCGGTGGACGATTAAATTTGAAATTGATTTTGAATGTAAATAAAAGTTTAAAAATGAATATGAATAAGAAATTTCTCTTTGGATTAATTGACGCTTGTTGTACTGTCTAAAGATTAGTGTCACAATTACCGGCCTTTGAACCAACACGGAGCAGAAAACGTGCGTCATTTTGCAGCGTCATTCTCCTAACCATTTTGATATCAATGAATTTCCTTTCAATCAAGGTGATAGACGTCTAATAACCTGGATATCAATATCAAAACAGGGAATTTCGTCGTACTTTTATAAGGAGGACAACGAACCTTTACGATGATTAAACGGGGACAAACTGCACGTTTTCAGAGACTAAACAAATAAATGAAATTCTACATGTAAGTTAAAAGGTTTCCTAGAAACGAATGCAAATACTGACCTTGTACGTGCAAGATTTATTAAATCGCCAAGACTGTATTTACAGCTGCCGTCTCAATATGGCTTAACTTATTCATACATGTATATGACCTATTAAAATTCCTGCTTTTGTTTAATAGTTTATCGAAAATTTAGACGGTGTTTAGCTCATTGACAAATGAGATATGAGTCTTATTTTCTGCTCTAACCCACGTGGTATTTTTACAATTGCTGCAGCTGTTTATTTTTTGCTGTAATCTACATCCGCAAATTTCGTTTCTCCAAGGAAATGAGCACTTACAAGTAAAGAAACAAACAGACAAACGTTTCCTTTCTCGGGTCCACGAGGTTTCTAAATCTCTTTTTTTTTATGTTAAGGAAAATTACAAAACGGTTTTTACTCCCAAAAATGAAACTGGATCCATTATTTAGTAAACTTAATTTTAACAGTCTATCTGTTCAGTCGATAAATTTCTGTGAATTTTCATGTAAATTTTAAAACTTAAATAAACTTTGATGTTTTTTTTATTTCATGTGCACTTTTTATTTAAGCTTTTTGAATTACATGTATGTTTCATTTTATATTTAATTCTCAGTTAGATAAGAAAGTGTTATATTTTTCTTGTTTTATCGCGGATTAGAACAAACGAAACCTCAAGCATCTATACTGCTTTAATAGATTACGCACGCCTTCACGATAGAATTGCTCTAATTTAAAAAAAAAGCAACCTTCGAAAACATTGTATCAGCCTGCGGAGCCAGTGTGGATAATGACTGGTACTTCACTCGCCCGCGTCCGGCACTTTCTAATTATTTTGAATTTTCTTTTTCACTTTCTATTTTTTTTATTCCTCTTTCTTCACAAAAATCTTAATTTTAGCTGTCAGATTTTCAGTTGAAGTGAAGAGTATAAGAGCACGAAGATCTTTAGAGAGCTTTTAGAGAGCTTTCTCATATTAAAAATTGCGAACTTAAATTGCAAGTTTTAGATTGCCAGCTTTGAAAACATGCACTTAGCAAAAAATGTATCTTAATGCACACGAAAACACGCACTTAGCAAAAAAAAATGTATCTTAATGCCCAACCGTGGTTATAGTAACCTCTTTAACTTTGGGAAATAAGATGCCAGATTTGGCAGTTTTGGAACAAAACATCACAAAAAAATTTATCTGATTTAATATCCTCCTTATCGTGGTTATTTTCTGTAATTTCTTTTCCTAAGAATCACTATGAAAACAAATTTTTTTGAAAAACAAATTTTTGGGGAGAAAATTATTTCCTGTAAGTGGTCCGGGAAAAGAAAGTCAGAAATTGAGATTTATTCGATGAAATATTTTAAATTTGAAAGCATCTTGACAGTCACTATGTACTCGGTGTTTGCTACAGTCAGCAACTGTGACTACGTCGCTCTGCCTATTTTCATGTGAATGCATAGAACTTTCCTGGACAACGTTGCTCTCCAAAGCTTCATCTGATATCACCCTTTTTTTCTTTGAGATCTTGCATTGTGTTAAGTTGTACTTTTAATCGAAAAAGAACAAAAAAGATATGTATCTCATAAAAACCCCATGTTAGCATTATAATATGAATATTTGTAAATCACCAGTTTAACTAATTTATCTTAGGTTTCTTAGGAGCCAAAACTAGACAATGAGTATTCAAATACCTTAAAGTTGTGATTCGCGGGTGCGCTCATGTCGTCCCCCGAGGAACCCAGTTAGTAAATGTTTGTTTGGTCAGTGCGGTTGTTGAAGTTTCAATACCGGATTTTAAAACACTTCACCCACGTGCGGGCGTCAAAAACTTCTCTCAATTACGGTTTTGTTTAATAACGTCACAAGCATTCATAAACATAAGGATCGAACAGTGTTTAGTGAGTACGCACATGTCCTTTGCTTTAATTTAATTTGGCGCCATGGGCTAATTTAAAAGTCGGCCGCAAAATGAGAAATTTGAATTGGGGAGATATAGAGGATATTACATGGCCGCGCGGAGATACGAAATTTCTCTTCGAGTGTTGAAAATTGACGTAGTTCTTGAAATTTTATTACCTTGTTACAATGCAGTTCAGTTTATATCTCAGTGTCTCAAATAATATTCTTGAGCAATTACGTCAGTTTTTTTATTCTTTACCGAATGTGTTTCCACAAGTGCTTCATTGCTTTTGGTGATTTCTCGTTAAAAATTTCGAACAATTATCCATTGTTGCTTTAGCTCACGCCTTACTTAGACTTGAGGCACCATGCTGACTAGCTCTAACAATAATCTTGGAATGACGTAATGCATACGTCATTTCCTTAAGATTACTTACTTACCCAATGCATAATCAATATTTCTGTCATGAGAAGATATCCACTATTTTGTTTTACTATCCCGCTGAGTTTTTTACGAATACCTTGTTAGCTCGGCTAGCCCACAATGCCTCATTGGTCATTCAGAGTCCAACTTGTTTTCCATTTCAATACAAATATTAAATGAATATTTTCAACTAGACTAGAACTAGCAGGGAATTAACTTCCCCGATTTTAAATCCGCCGTGTCATTATGCACCTATTTTGACTTATAACGTAACAGTTCGATGTACTTTTTTTAAAAAAGTCAAATCATCTGTTTATCTTTTATAATAATTTATAACTGATAGACCGACTGTGCTATTGCCAGGGTAAAGAATCCATTTAGCCATCTTTCACGGTATTGTTCTCACGAGCTCTCGTTCGGAAGTTTCACTTGTCTTATGATAAACCCATCACCAGGATTAAAGTAGAACGTACAGCAAGACTAAGGCACTTGTTTAGTCTTCGTGATCCAGGAAATGACTGATTATTAACGATGAACTCATCCGTTTATTTGAATTAAAAAGAAAGCTTTTTCCTCGCCACTTTGTGTTATTGACGTAAGCAGAACATTTATCCTCAGGATTCAAAAGGAAGAAAAGTAGTAAAGCCATAAAACCAAAGATTTATATTATATATGTCGTTAATAATGAACAAACCAGAACATTTTGGTAGTCTCTTGATACCTGTGTGAGAAAAGCCTTCAACAAAGGAGCACCCAAGGACGGCTTTTTGCGTCGCTATAAAATTCCGGCATACGTCCCAACGAATTCTGACTAGGTTTTCTTATCATTTTCTATTTCCAGAAAAATCTAATCTTAGATGCCTGATTCATAGTTTTTTAAACTGCGACGCTTTTATACCTTTTTTCGTCACTAGTTTTGAAACCGAAAATTCAAGAGTTCCTTTCTTACGTACTGAATAATATAATCATCTCTGGGGAATGTGAAACCAGATTCCCGAAAATCGTGGGAAAGTTGACAGAAAAACGCCCATCTTAGGTGAAGGGAACAGACTGGCCTTTGAGTAGTGGTATGGAAATTTCTAGGCATTGATTTGCTACTTCGAACAGACATTCACAGAAACAGTCACTGGCTGTTACTGTCAACATGTTTTTTTTTAATGGTGTTTTTGGTTTCATCCCGCTTTGAAGAAGTAGCCGGAGAAATTTAATTTCTTCATCACGAAATCACTGGGCAACAAAGATAAAACGACCAGAGAGTATGAATGGTCTAACTGATTTCAGTTTATAACGAGTTCCTTTATTGGACAATGCAAAACGTGAACAGATACCCTATATTTTAACTATCAAACTCATAAAAAGCGTAAACATCTAAAATATTTTAAGACTGTTTATCGCGTAATGACCAATCACAGGGAAGATCAGGACATGCGAGCAAGCCACCCAACCTCAAACTACTTACGGTTGCTGCTTGTGGTTTAGTTTTTTGACGCCTGGTTGGCTCTTCCCTTGCAACACAATAACATTCCAGAAAAATTTCTGGTCATGATGTGTCACATTTTCTCGAATTTCACAGTAATTGCCATCAAATTGATATCATATCAGTTCGAGGCTTTATCACACTGACATCCACACATGATATGCTATAAAGGGCTTTATTGCCCCCGCAGAAGGCGAAATCCCGAGGAGGCACTCTAGTAGCAGGAATGTACTTACAGTTGAAATATACAGAAATACAGTCAATATAGAAAAAATCTCGATTTGCTTGAACAGGGGCCGCGAGGAATCAGTAGGTAATGATGACGTTTCTATTGTTTGCGCCCACAAATACGAAATGGTTAGGATGACGTAAAGACAGAACATCCCCAAGGGACCGCTTAGGTAGATTTTGTGACATTTATTGTGCAGTCACACTTAGACACTCGTTTGCGTTACGTGTTATCAGTGACATTCTGTGGAGCAGTTGTTTCACTAGTTCTGAAAGTTAATGGACCAAAATTTTAACGACACTTGTTAAGCGCAGAAGAAGTTATAAGGTGCGTATAACTGTGTATATATAAACACTTGGAGAGTTTGCCAGACACGAGTTCACAAAACTTTCATTGGAAACCTTGCCAGACACTCTTACTCTCTCTTTGACCGGAATAAGACTCAGCCCCAAACAAGCAAGACGAGAGAACAACAGCTAGCTTCTCATTAGCAGAACGATGAACGATTACAGAAATTCGCCGACAATCAAATTCTGTGCTGACTTGAGCAAATGTGAATTGATCAAACGACCTTTTAATTTCTAGAAGGCTTCCTTTCCGGCAAATAAAATGAACTGAATGTAAAAAGTGAAAGAGAAATAGCGAAAAATTCAACTTCTAATTCATTTTTTTCTTATGGTTTAGAAACTGAGAATGTTTTGATCAAAGCTGTGTAAATCGAACTGAAACTGTCCATAGAACCTTGCGTTTCCTCTATTTGTCTCACCTATTGTATGGAATATGTGTGATAATCTTCCTTATGAATCGGTATATTTCAAAGAGCTACACAACGAGCAAAAATGGTATTGACCGACAATATACAGAGCGGGGGCAGCTGTAGTGTTAACTGTCATGACTAGTTATATACACGATAGTGAGTTGTTGGGATTTCGGCCACTGAGAAATGTCGTACCAGAATACATGTGATCTCATATAGTATCAAAACACATATGTCCCATATATTGAACAATTTTGCTCATCTCTTTATAGCTGTTTCCTTTTACCTTATACTAAGCCGTTTTGAAAGATTTAGATTGTTTCAATTTCATAATGCATTTTACAGTGTACTTTTTGATAACGTCTTGACTATTTGACGTGATTAGTCTCACTAGTGAGCGCTTCGAGTTGAACACTCAACAATAAATTTGACCTCTCCGCGCCCCAATGTATTCTCTATGTATTCTGGTTCTCCGCAGGAAACGGTTTTCGGTTGGATTTGAAATCATTTTAGCCAAAATATAGCGCAAGCATTAACAGACCTACATTATTAAAGGTTCTGAATTCGTTCAATCATCTCACAGATTCCAATTTTTTAAAAGAAGACAAAGGACTGAAAGGACAATTTGATTTTTATAAAACTCTGCTGCTTTTCCTTAATTAGGATATTATATGCCTAGTTCGTAAAGAATTTCTTTTTGAACTTATCCAATGCACAACATTCTCTGTCCATGAAAACATAGGAAATTTCACTGAAAGGAATCGAAAGAAATATTATAATAGATCATTTTCGATATTTTAAAAATTCATACTTGGCTACGAGGCTCGACCCCAAAAAAATTCACAAGGGTTTGTGTGGAGTTTTCTAAGCATAACTGGGCTACGATCTCAGAGAAAATTTGCCCCGAAATGCTCATTTTTTGCAAGTAGGCCTCTTGGACATTGTTCTTTCAGAATATCCTGACAAATCCCATAATTTTAGAAATTTTATTTTTATGATGTCACACTTAAGTACTCTATAAGACAAAAGAAATGCATTATTCATTGCTCAGCCCCAAGGTGTTTTCTTTTGTTTTATTCCCCTCAAGCCTCGGAGCCAAGGAGGAATTTTAATATGTCGAAAATGGTGTATGAACTTTAATTTCTTAATTGCCATTCATAAGTGTATGCACGGATTCCAAGTATATGTTACAAGTCAAATTTGATTTCAGGTTAAATTTTTTTAACCTAGGTTGATTCTCAATTTCTTTTGTTTCCTATCTCTAATTCATGAATAATTAGGGCTAGGAAACAAAGAAAATTTAGAATCAACCTAGGTTAAATCAAAATTAACCTGAAATCAAATTTGACCTGTAAAATAAATTCCCAAGCTGATTTTTGTCCAGGGCCAATAAAAAATGAATTAGTTGGAAAACATGCCAAATACTTGTTATCCGGGCTCCTGCGCATAATTATTTCATTGCTTTTTAATTTTTTCAGTGTTTGCCCGACCAACCAGGCGGCATAGAAAGCAAAACGCATGGTCTTAAAAGGAAAGTCAACCGTCGCAGGCAATAATTAACAAAAAATTTTAAAAGTAAATATTAAACTTTGGCTACGGGTGCCCCAAGAGGAGTTTTCAGTATTTGCAAGTCTTTTATGAATAATTCCTTACTTTTTCTATTTGTTTCTTCCATGATATACATAGTACAGAATGTCCAATGCATTGTTATTTTCCGGTCTAAGGTTTTGCTGACGAGTTTGTGGGACTCGTGCGATAAAATAATTTCGCGCTAAAACAGGGGCACCCAACGAGAATATAGTTCAAAACCACTTAAACATAGCATTGTTAAACGTATTTTAGTATTTAAACGGTAGATATAGGCATATTTTTATCCCCTAAAAATTTTTCATCTGTTCGGATTTCCTAGCTGAAAGTCTAATGATCCGATAGGGATCAAAACTTACCTGTTCGAAAATTCCAGCCAGAAAAAAGGCTCCCGAAAATTCTAGGTGACCTTTTTAGGGTAAAAATCCGTTAAAAATAGGCAATTATACCATTTTTTAGATGTTCGAAAATGCTAGGAGAGGCAGGCAAGCAAGAAATTTTTCAACAAATGTTCCGAAAATTCTAGATATCAAATCGTCTTCCGAACAGATATTTTCCGAAAATTGTCGTTGGGTGCCCCTGCTAAAATCGAAAAATCAGGATATACTAAGTTTACGGTGAAACGCCGTGACACAAGTAAAGGTTGCCGTAGTTATAAGCTGAAGCGTGTGTAAATAAAATAAGTGAGGGATTTTTCGATAGGTTTAACTGTTACTAAGGTAACCTTTTAACTCAAGAAAATTTCATATGGCTTTGTTCACAAATTTGAAGCACTGAGCATAAACATAAGAAATCTATGCAGCGTGCTTAACATTTTGTACAATACATGTTACGGCAAAAGTCACTATGACGTCTGTGTATGTTCTTCTTCTTATAACTCCGTCGAAATGTAAAAAAGGCTTATTCATAAAATGATCGTTAAAGCAAAATTAGACTGTTCCAGGCTTTTAGATAGTTGCATGTGCGCACTGAAAAAAAGGAAACTCGCTGTATATCCTGTATTTGTTGTTTTGGCCGCGCTCCTATCTAGATGCCTATAACAGGCTATCAGAATGTAAACATGTAAGCTGCGGTAGTATGAATGCATGAACCAAAACATGGACGTTATCAGTGTGACTGAATGGAGCTGCCTTGTTCTAGTGAATGCCGTCATGAACTGTGATGAAGATCATTCCAACTACGAAATTCCGCGTGTTAAGAGCGCGGCGCCGTCTTTATAGACTCAGTCGTTTGTAAATAATGACTTTGAATATGAATCAATCCATCGATCTTAAGCCCAAACAACGTATGCCGCGTGTTGGCGTGTTAGATTTCTAAGTGGTCTGAATAATCATCTTAAGAGCGTAACAGTGCGGGCCCTTTTCATTAAGACACTTCTCCTGCTGAAATGCCTAGATTATTATTTCATTTCGTTGAAATGCTTCACAGTTTCTTTTCCACATATAATCACAGGTTTAAGAGTTTTAATTAGTGCCTTCAATGATGCGATTTTGGAGCAATCGTAATTAAGTTATTCTTGTTCGGCTTGTTTACAATCACACTGAACATGCGTGATAAATGTTTTTGTCAAGGTTTTTTTTTCTAGAAATAATGAGGAAATGGTAGAGGGAAGTGGGAAACCCGCGTTGAATAATACAACAACTGCTGATAAGTCTATTTTGTGCAATTAATGCATATAAAGACAAAACGATCGCTATATGGAATGATCAATTAGCATATCTTTTTTGTTTAGTTTGGTCTACGTTCCACTTATCCTCTTTTACTAGCGAATGATCCCACGTCAGAGCCAAAAACAAAGGCAAAAGCGTCAAACAATGGAATAACACGTTTTGTCACAGTTTCTGAGTGCATGTTATATCAGTTGACATATTGATGAATCTCCAAGTACAAGGCACTATAGCATGTGCTCATTGAAAGCATAAAAATAGCATAAAAAATGAATATGTCACTTTTCTCAGCCGTGGAGCCAAAACAACATAAGGTTTATCAACATTCAAAAACCAATGCCGACTTGGGGGCGGGTAGTTTATCGCCGGTCAATAAAGTTGATAGTTGTTTTTCACTTTCAGCGAATAAAAACACGCACGGCAAGTTTGCGAGTATAGGTGAAAAACATAACCGAGATAAGTGCAATGTAAAATGTCCATGGAAATTTAGGGCGAACCATTATCGTGGGCAGATAAACAATCGTCAGCTACTAAAAAAACAGAAATACAGCTGCTCGTAGAAGTTCAAGCAAATATTACCAGTCGTCGCAAAGACTTTTTTAAACATTTTGCATCTCATTTCTTGGAAATCTCCGTTGCTTGCAGCTACAACATTGAATAAGACTGGACACGTATTTCGTCTATATCTTTTAAGCTTCAATTAAGTGATTTAAAAGAAGCCGTTTCTGAGTATTAAAAGTAATGCTCCGTTCTTCACATAATAACATCAAATGTACCCAAGATACCTACGAAATACAGCAGTGAGCATTGCAAGAACATTTATTTTCCTATTTTTTAGAACCGTTTATAGTGAAACGCTTGCTTTAACATCCATTATTTGTACGTCAAGTCCAATAGACGGCCTAGTTTTTCAAGCGAAAACTGGACATTATGACGGATAAAGACGATTTTAAAATTTCTTTAAGGGGAAACTAACTAAAGACAGTTTTATCTGGAATCACGCGCGTTTACGGCGGGAAATAAAGGAATTAAATTAACCGCGAATACAGAATGCGGAGAGTCGCGGATATGATACCTTGAATAGCCGCGCCGTTTTCTTATTTGGTCTTGTCACTGCAGCTAAAATTTGGGAAACTCAGTTTCTTCGTTCAGTTTACTTTATTCGGCGTTAGGGCCGGGAGGAACCAAACTTTAACTACTGAATATTGAAAATGAGCGAATTCAACGTATTCAAGCGGTTAGATCATATTAAGAAGCCATTTATTGATTTTACCACGTACGGATATCACCGTTTGAATGGGTCAGAAATGTTGAGTCAGCTGGGGTTTGAAAAAGGTATAGACGTAATCAGTGGCGATTTAACCTGGCAAACCAAAAAAACAGCTTAATTCGAGGAAAGAACCACAGAATGCAAAACTGGACTCTTAGTGCATCTCTCGTGCAGTGAAATTTAAAAAATTGTATCCATCAATTAACACGAGGAAACCTTCTGGTGCGGAATAAAGTAAATATGGGCTCAGTTTTAAGGAAAATATAATCCCAGAATTTCAGTTAAAAAACGAGATTTTAAACTTACCTGATTTCGCATGAGTTAGCTTTGTTTTAGTGCTGATTTAACTTCAAAACAAGACATTATTGTTTAGCATATATCTCTCTCTACACTCAACGTGCGTACAGAGCTGTACAGCAGTCAGTATCGTGCCTCGATCTCGCTCGATTGATTGATTGATTAATAACTTTGGCTAAAGCTCATAGGTGTTTCATGCAGATAAAAATATAGTTGTCCATTATGATATGTGAAGCAGATATAGCCTCCTTTACTTCTCATTGGAACAGAGCATACAACAAATGTGTGCTATGAACAGGAGACATTTTTGGCCTGTTGTGCTTCTGTCGCGAGGCAATAATTTCCGAATGTACTGACAAAGAAAATGGATCATAAATCGTTGGCGTTTGGATACAAAATTACGGATTGCGCCTTGCAAATGTCGATAAGAGGGAACCAAGTTTGGCTATATTTTTTCGTACGAAAGGACCCCTAAAATTTTGAAATAGTAAAAGAAAAGAGGTGTATATATCGGAAAATATCAAGTTTAATAAACCTTAAAATAGCATCCAAGATTCTTGGAAAATAATAAGCAGATAAATAATAAATGATAAAAACGAAAAAAAGGCTGAAAGTATCCTTAGAAGGCCAAGCAGACAAAAAGAATTCGAAAAAATGACTCGCGAAATTGTGCCGGCGTTGCGTTGGTGGAGGAGTGACAAAATGCAATAATTTTGTTTTCAACCGGATTTGATAAAAGCAGATTGGGATTGAGAAGCTAAAGTTTCCCGAGCGCCAGCCCTTCGTTAAATAGCGTCCGAACAATCTAGACAGCCTAAAAAAGGTTGTTGAAATATTTTGGAAAGAGCAGTCGTTCGGGTGCTTCTAGCTTGAAAGAGCACTGGGAGTCAGTGGGTTTCCGGATTTAACTCAAGCAACTAGAGAAATGTAATAGCAAGGAATTTAAATACAACCACACGAAAGGGTTAACTATACAAATAATGTCACTGAAGACGAGCGACGGGTGGTTGCATAATGCTTCTAAGGCCTTCTCAGTCGCCCAATTTTTTTTTTTAGATTGTCTCACAAATTTACGACGTGACAAAGCAAATACAAGTACGTGCAAGGATAAGTAGTCTAAGTAGCCGGTTAGGTGGCTTATATTTTATGATGACTGACTGTTAATCTGGGGTTATATTCTCGGCGTACGCCAGACAGCGATTCAGAATTGATCATTATTCTATGCATTGTCCTCGCGTGAGTTCAAGACAGAGGTACGTTCTCTCTTCCGCTGTAGAAAAGTTGTCATAAACTTTCGCGTTAAAGTACAGTTTTTTTTCAAATTACTCATGCAATTATCAACATGATCAATGAATTTTTTTCTAGCTAAGAGAAATTTGCATAGTATAAATTTTTGTATATTTTTATTGGACCTAAAATATCTTTAATGAAAGTATTTTAAGAATAATTGGCAAAGGATAGTTTCAGGGAAAATGTTGTTGAAATTTTTTCGGAGTAAACATACATAGTAGTCTTTGTTTTTTGGGATAAACCAAAAATAAAATTGTAATCTCGTGAAATTTATCATTGGCCACTATTTGTAGTGTAAGGATTAATGTATCTAAAATAAATGTCAGCAAGTCCACAGCAACAAACCAATGAGAGGTGCCGGATCTCCCAGTTGTAAACCTGGATCAGGACAATTAAACTTGTAGAAAATTGCCGCAAGGATCAGTTCGCCGTTTCATATTTTTCTATAATAATTTATTTATCTATCCTGGCATCTTCTCTACAGTTTTATGGCGCCGCGCAAGGCTTGGTAGTATAGGTCGAGATGGCACCACACAGGGCAACCACTCCAATGAAGAAACTGAACAAATAAGAAATGATTTCACCCCATGCCAAGACATCAGGTATTCCAAGCCAGTCTTGGATTCTAGATTCCACGCTGTGGATTCCCGAGGGACTTGTTTCGGATTCCTTGTCAGTGAAACCTGGATTCCTGATTCCAATAGAACTTTTTACCGATACGGCGGCCATATCGAACTTATTAGATTTATGGAGTATTATGGGATGCCCAGGGGGCACTCGCCCAGTATTTACGGGCGCTTTTCGGGTAAACAGAGAACTTCACTTTATATTTCACGGGAAAACGGCAATCATTATTACATCCAAACACGGCACAACGATCTTTTTTTTCCACTACAATCTTTTTCTTGGAAACTTACAGAAAAATTGGCCCGAAAAGTGCGTGTTAATACTCAGCGAGTATATTGGATCGTGCTCATGCCCCTTGGGCATCCCATAATACTCCTTAAATCGAATAAATTCAATATGGCCGCCGTATCGGTAAAAGGATCTATTGTAAGCGAGATTCTGGATTCCTTGAGCTGAATAATTCGGCGGATTCCAAAGTCCTGTATTCCGGATTCCACAAGGAAAGGTATCTCAGATTCCTGGATTACCTTAAACGGGGCGATAAATTGGAAGCTGTCGTCACAGAACTGAGTTGATTGGGTAACGAAATAATAGATAAATATGACCTAAACATTATGTCCCTAGAAGTTAAAACAATACTTGCCCAGGTTTGTTTTCAAAGGCCAATGAAAATAAAGCTGTCTAGCAGAGACCACGGTTGTATACTTTTTTCTTTTAAAATATAATTTTTCTCATTTTTGCCGCATCAAAACAGTCTTTATGCCACATCGCTAATATTCCAAAGTTATCACGGAACAAGTTACATGCATGCTGAGAGCAGGAAGATTTCTTGTTTTACATTTCAAACTCAACCCTTAATAACCAATTAACTTGGGGCACCCTCAAAGACACAGAATTACCTTCTAATGAAACAACTAAGATGTAAGCTACGGAAGTTAAATCTTAGATTTTGCAATTGAGTTTCGTGGTCTTGCCTTTATAGCTTGAATTGGTAAATGCTAAAAGAAATCGAACGAAAGATAATAATAGATTAGATTATCTGTAAACGTTATTATTCTTGTTTTAGTGTTATGTGTTAACTTTGACAAAAATGATACTTTCGAATTCAACTCATGCGCAACCTTCTGCGGAACCGAAACAGAACGCATCCTTGGCAACCTTCCTTAATTTCTAGAATTGTGTTTAATTTAAATTTTCCCGAGATACCGATGCACTGTCAACATTAAGACTGTCTTACTTCTGGGGGTGTTTAACTATAAATTAACATTTTAGTTTTTACCAGGAATTGACCACCGTACATCTTATTTTTAGAAAAATAGTTCAACTAGGAGGTGTCTGTTTTTAAGATAAGCAATGATTCGGCGGTAATGTCTGAAACTTCTGCTCTCGTAAACCAAAGTACTGCATTTTTACTTTGGCCTTGAAATAATTTTCAAATCGCTACCGTTGTTTATGTTTATGAAAAATACTACAAATACAAAGACAGCCGGATGTTTAGAGGATTTATCTTAACTAGATCTTTTATCTGTGTATAAAACCATTACTGTTGTGTTATGTTTTTGTGATGATGAAATATTGTGCTCCCTTAAAGCTTATTGAGCCCCGTATTGAACTAAACGTTTTTTTCCATACAACCAATGATTAATATAGCATTTAAATGTTCAAACAAAGTGTGGTGCATACCGTACGTTAATAATTTATTACGACCCTGCGAGCAGAGGTTTCTCTCTTGCATGGCTTTTTTAAAAATTAGCATTGACGAAGTTGTTCGCTTCAATTTTTAGTCAGTCACGTAGTGGGTTTGTTTAGGCCAACTACGTCAATGACAGGCGACGCGAACGACTCCGTAAATGCTAAAAGCCATGCAAGAGCGAAACCTCTGCTCGCAGGGTAATTTATTAAAGATTGAAGTTGATATTTGTCGATCGAAATTCTAATTTCCTAAAGAGCGTGTTAAACACGTTTGTTGTTTGTTTATTGTAGGAAACGTTATTAGGGTTCTGGAACTTTCTAAGTACTTATTCTTGGGGCCAAAAATAAAAAACAATTTACTTGTCAACTTGAAAACGTAAGATAATTGTCTAAAAGCGTGCTTTTTTTCGCGGCTTGTCCTGCATCACGCACTATATACATTAAACATGAAACAAGTGCATCCCTGTAAGGAGAAAACACTTTCTATACTTGAAACTCTTTGTTTCCTTTTTCGTGAATTTTACCAGATTAAGACCACATAGGAGTTAAGAATTTTTCTTTTCGTGACTTGAAAAGTAAAATAGTGATTCGACATCCTGTCTCCAAACTTGATGTTGGCTCTTTCCGCATGATAGAAAAACTATTAACTTTTAAATAGCCCTTTGTGCTTTTAAAAAAATCAGACTTAAGAGATTTAAGGTCTACCATCACTTTTATACCAAACTTTAAAATTAAAACAGTAAACTGATCCTTACGGCAGGAAGAGTGATAGAAAAAAAAGAAAGAAAACAAAAACAAAGGGATTAATTATATAATTCACATCCCGCTTCTCCATCACTCTTCCAAGCTGCCGTAAGGATCAGTTTACTGTTTTAATTTTAAAATTTGGTTCTCAAGTTTTTACTGATTCAGGTCTACTAAAGATCCAGCTGACCCTCACTGGTTTGTCGTTGTGGTTTTGCCTTCACAAGTGTTTCATCACTTTTATGTTGACTACAGTTTCCGTTTTTGGGTCTTCACCAATTAAGTCATAGCGGAAAACACTTGCAGCACAGATTGATCTCGATTTTAAAATTCTGAATAAGGGGTTGCCCTTTGTGTTCTGAAGATGAAGTTGAGTTTTTAGGTCGAAATGTTTAAGCACCTTTAAAAGTAACTTTTATCGAGAGAGAAGAAAAACCATAACCACTACGTATAATAATAAATGTAACGATTTAGTGGTAAGATCTTCAGATTATAAAGGCACAATTGAAAGGCCATTTCTTCAACACTTTGGCCTGTTTCTCGGCACAGTTCGGCAGGTTTTAAACAGATGTCTCTTTCTTGCAGATAGTCTTCAAAAGTCTGATAACGTCCCAGTTCATGGGAGCAATATTTTTTGCGTACTATTCTTGCATTTCTTCCGTTCAGCTATTTCTTCCTCGAATAGCTCTGAACGCCATGATCACTATTGCCCAAGCAGCCTCTTTTCCAGGCAAATATACCATCGATCAACCTCGTTTCCAAGCAAATATAACATCGAACCGGTGGCAT